TTTCCCTTAATTAAAAAACAATCAAATCAGGCTCGGCTTATGTGAGTAGGTAAGATAAAATTATAATATGAAATTATATGAAGAAGTCTAAGTTTTATTCGAACATATAATTAAAGTTTTAACTATGAAATCGTGTTTTTTCACTTATAAACCTAAAATTCTCATATATTCTGAAGTTTAAGTTGTAAAATGTTAGCTTCAAGATTTTCTAGAGTCGTATTTGCGGAAGTTGAATCTTTATAATTAGTCTCGACTTAAAACTTAGATAATTTTCTAGTCTTATTTGCGGAAAGTCCAAGCAAATCCATTTCTTTGAAGTTAAAAAAAGACTCGAACATTGTTTTTTCATGTTTTTTAGTAAAAAATACTTTGTTATTTTTGCTTTAAAAATTATTACCTCACTTATCAAATATTTTAACTTTGATCATCAGCTTATCATATTCCTGTGAAAATTTCAAATTAAATTAATCCAACATGTAAAATTCAAATGGAAAATTAGTACACATATTATCAGTAATTTTACATAGTAAAGTAAATTCATGTGATGTGAAAAGATCCAACACAACCCGAGTAACAGACAAATAAATGAGTATAAAGATGTGAGTGGAACATAATAGTGTGATCGAGATTAACATCAAAATTAAATTTTAAATACTAGTGAATATGTGCCCTATTTTTAAATCTATTTAGTTCAGTTCATCTTTTATTAAATGGAAAATACTCAATTACTATTTTTTTTATTGTGATTTAAATTTGAAATCTTACTTCGAATCTCATAACACTTTTTCTTTTTTAGAAGGGAATGAAATCGATAATGTATAATATATGCAGTTATGCACATATCAAAATTACATTACTTATGAATTATGATAATAAATAACAATTTAAATTAAATTAATACAAATAATATAAAAAAATATTTTACATACATAAGATGGACACGTTTCTCCTATTTTATATGGCAGTAGTTTTTTTCCACAGAAATATTCGACCTTTTTTCTCTAGTTTTATTCTAAGTTTCTAACCAAAGGGTTACACAATATCAGAGAGTACATAAAGGATTAAAGGTGGATATGTCGTGACAGAAAAAATAAAGAATTCTTGTTGACTTTTTTTAATAATTTAAAAAATAAACTCCTTATAGTGAAGTATCTTTTAATTTATTGAGTTTATAAAAAAATTGATAAAAGAAAGTGATGACACACGCATGATAAATAAATTTAAAACCAACATGGACTTATTTGCACCCCTATGTACAAGATAATTTGCAGCGTAATTTAAATTCGACACTTTAAATAAATTTTAAACTAATTTTCTTATTTCTGTTCAATATTATATTATAGTATTTTTTTTCGCCATATTTAACAAACCGATTAATTATATGTATTTTTCGCGACACACATTATGAAGTTGCACAGTGCCCAAATCGATCATAAAGGACCTATAATGAAAAATAATATACAACGAAAAACAGTTTAATTTTGTATCTATTTGCAGTAGAGAGAGTTGATTATTTTTGTTGAGCCAAGTAATTCAATCAGGCTAAGAGTAACTAACTATGTAATCAATTAGTTAGTTTGTTACTCAGTAGTTAGTTAAATTAGTTACAACTAAAAAGCTTATGAGGAATGTAATTAGGAAGCCAAATAGCCAATAGTGGCGTATCTATATACAGCCTATACAGTGTACAATACAATAATTAACTAAGATATTATCTCTAAGGTATAGAATTCTCCCTCTCTCTTTTTCCTCTTCTTCTTCATCATTACTAACATTTGGATTTACTAAATTGTTAGACTTCTCTATATTCTACAATTTCATTATTTGTAAATCATTAATTTAAAAAATAACTAGATTCTAAACTCAACGATAAATGAACAAAATGAGGTGAGGTGAGTAGTAAAGATCCTAATTCAGTGATTGTGATAGTCGTAAATTATCTTATTATTTCACTCGAGTATAAATACAATGCATGATTAGTTCAAAGTATCATTGACACAATATAATTTTTTTTCTTTTAAAAGCTATTTACTACCCAAGATTTCGGAATGATGGTGCATTATTACGAAAAAATATATCTAAGATATAAATTTGATTGATTTGACCTTTAGATTTTTAACACTCAAAAAATTTTTTAGGTCCAAAATATATAACACTGCTAGTTTAAATTTTTTAATATACACATTTGATTTAATTATATAAAAAATTAACAATGCTAAACTTTTTTAGGGATTTTGAATATAACATACTTGAAAATTTGGAAAGATTAAAGTAGAAAAACAAAAGAAAAATTAATTGAAACACCAAATGTGTTATCGATAACGAGTTGGAGAGGTGTTACTAAAAAAAGGAGAAGATAGATTTAGATTTAAGTTTCTATCTTCACTTAAAGAGGTACATCCAATCATCATTATATTATTATATGATATTATGAATATTAATTCACATTTTTATATTAAAATATTTTATAAAAAATATAACGTTACTATATATGATTTAGAGAAAGAGGAGCATCAGTTCACATTTATCCACGAAACACCTCTAGATACGCCCCTAATGCCGACACAGAGTAGAGAGTACAGAAACCAGCTATTTCTTTTTTTATTTTTTCACTCATACTTATATTAGATCTAATTATCTAGATTTATATAGCATAAAACTTCATTCCATTAAAAGCATTTTCTATCATAAAATTTTCATATTTTTAGACTCGAACTCAACCTCTAAGTCAAAGGGGAAATAGTCTCATTTGGTGGTAACTGTTTCTTTCGTTTCATTTCTTCACTTCACTTCACTATATGTTTCTCTCTCTTTTTTCTCCTATAAAAGAAACAGTTAACCTAACACTTTTTTTTTTTTTTTATCGAAATCACTTCCAGCTTTATCAATTGTACTTCCATGGCTGATGTTCCTGAGAGTTCGTTGAACCCCGATGCACCTGAATACATCCCTATTCCCACTCCGGCGCTACTGCCACTGCCACGGCCACGGCCACGACGTCGTCCTATGAATATGCTGCTTCCAGTGCATCAATATCTGGCGGTGATGCTTCCAACGCATCAATTTCTGCCGGTGATACTTTCAACGCATCCATATCCGCCGGCGCTTCAACCGCATCCATATCCTATCGTCGATTCACCGCCGCAGGAGAATGTGCGACGACGTCGCCAGCGTAGGAGTATTCCTCCTAGAGTAGGAGGGTTGGAGAGACGGATATCTATGAACGAAACTACTGTCATGATCAAGAATATCCCATTTCACTACGAGTAATTATTAATTTCTTGCTTCTTTAAATGTTCATATTACTTTTTACTTATTTGGAAATTTTAATAGTCCCATATCATTATCTAATTAATTTAATTTTTCCTCTACAGCCGTGGATTGATGATGGGATTTCTAGACGATTTCTGCTTACAGGAGAATAGAAAAGCGAGAGATTCAAATGGAGAAAATATTCATGTCTTCGCTTATGATTACTTGTATTTGCCTTTACATTTCAGAAAGAATAGGATCATAGGTTATGCATTTGTGAATTTCACCGATCAAAGAACTCTGTGGAAAATCTTTTTGGCTTTTAGTGACGGAGTAAAAACGTTTCCAGATTCTGCAAGGAGCGTTAAGATTGCCACTGCGTATATCCAGGTACGTGCGTGAATGTCAAATTAAAAAAATTAAAAGAAGAAATTGTTAATTAAGTTTGTGATTTTTGATGTGGAATTTTTACTAATTAACAGGGAAAAAATGATTTAAGGAGACGATATCAGTATGCAAGATTTAGGAGAGAAGCAATAGGGTTTTATCCTCCAAGAGATGGTTCTCAGATCATTGCAAGTGGGGAAATTTGAAGTCACTCCAGATTAGCATGCTTTGAGGGGTGGAATACTGTCACCTCTCAGATAATCCGATCGATCAACACCCTTTTATTTGTTGTTGTATTTTTTGTTAACGAAATCCACCATTAGCAGGGGCTGTTACTCCTCTGATTTGCTATCAGACATTTGATTTGTTCATTTACTCTGTTTTCACATCACATGGATAATATGTCTACTAGTTTTCACTTTGAATTTTAGTTGTTGGATTGATTTAATTTGTAATTTTAGCATGAATATGATAAAGTGATGATCAAAATTACTCTAATATATTTGACAAGTGAGATACTAAAGTTCAATGCAAAAATGACAAAATATTTTTAACTAAAACAATGTTCGAGTCACTTTTTAAGTTAAAAGAATTGGAGCTTTAACTTTCGGCAAATTGGGCTTAATGAAAAATAATATTTATACAATGAAAATCAGTTTAATTTTGTATCTATTTGTAATAGAGAGAGTTAATTATTTTTGTTGAGCGAAGTAATTAAAAGAGGCTAAGAGTAACTAACTGTGTAATCAATTAGTTAGGTTTGTTATTCTATAGTTAGTTAAATTAGTTACAACTGAAAAGCTTATGAACAATGTAATTAGGAAATCAATACAATAATTAACTAAGATATTATCTGACCAATCAAGATATAGAATTCTCCCTTATCTTTTTTCTCTTCTTCTGCATCATCATTACTAACATTTGGATTTACTAAATTGTTGAATTATTTATATTCTACAATTTCATTATTTGTAAACAATCATTTAAAAAATAACTAGATTTTAAACTCAACCATAAAGGAACAAAATGAGGTGAGTAGTAGAGCTCTTAATTCAATGATTGTAATAGTCATAAATTACCTTATTATTTCACTTGAGTATAAATACAATAGCTCAAAGTATAATTGACACGGTATAATTTTATCATTTCAAATTCATATTGCATAAAACTTCATTCCGATTAAAGTATTTCCATTTTTATATTCAAGACTAAACTCAGCCTCCAGTAAAGGGGAATAGTCTCATTTCTTCCTTCACTATATATTCAATTCTCAATTTCTCTCTCCTTTTTTTCCTATAAAAGAAACAGTTAACCTAACATTTGTTTTCAAAATCACTACCCGCTTTATCAATTGTACTTCCATGGCTGATGTTCCTGAGAGTTCGTTGAACCCGCATCCACCTGAACATATCCCTATTTCCACTCCGCCACCGCCGCCTCCACCACCACCACGTCGTCCTATGTATGTGCTGCGCCCGCTTCCAATGCCTCAATATCTGCCGGTGATGCTTCAAAGGCCTCAATTTCTGCCGGTGATGCTTCCAAGATATCAATTTCTGCCGGTGATGCAGCTTCCACCGTGTCCATATCCGGCGGCGTTTCCACCGCTTCTTGCTCTTCCTACCGTCGTTTCACCGCCGCAGGAGAATGTGCGACGACGTCGGAGTATTCCTCCTAGACTACGATGGGTGGAGAAATGGATACCTAATAACGAAACTACTGTCATGATCAAGAATATCCCATTTCACTACGAGTAATTTATAACTTTTTGCTTCTTTAAATGTTCATATTACCTTTTGCCTTATTTGGAAGTTGATTAAAACAAGATTTTAATAGTTCCATATCAGTATCTAATTAATTTATTTTTTCCTTTACAGCCGTGGATTGATGATACGATTTCTAGACGATTTCTGCTTACAGGAGAATGAAAAAGCGAGATATTCAAATGGAGAAAATATCCATGTCTTCGCTTATGATTACTTGTATTTGCCTTTGGATACCATGTGAGTAATAATCTCGTGTAATTATATGTTGTTATTTGCAGTGCAACTTCAGTACTATTAGCTTTTCTTTTATTTTTTTGATTTGCAGAATGAATAGGATCAAAGGCTATGCATTTGTGAATTTCACGGATAAAAGAAGTCTGTGGAATTTTATTTTGGCTTTCAGTGACGGAGTAAAAGTGTTTCCAGGTTCTAACAGGCGCGTTGAGCTTGCAATTGCGTATATCCAGGTGCGTGAATGATAAATAAAAGAAGAAATTGTTAATTAAGTTTGTGATTTTTGATGTTGAATTTCTACTAATTAACAGGGAGAAAATGCTTTAAGGAGACAATTCCAGAATGCAAAATATGCGTCAGAAGCAATAGGGTTTTATCCTCCAAGAGATGGTTATTAGATCATTGCAAGTGGGGAAATTTGAAGTCAATCCTGATAATCCGATCGATCGATTATAGGGTTTACATTAGCTACCTTTGTAATTGAGGGGTGGAATACTGTCACCTGAGAAATCTCTCAGATCAGGTGATGAAATCCACCCTTTGTTGTTGTATTTTTCGTTTACGAAATACTCACGAGTTTTGAGTATAGCCATTAACAGGGGATGTTACTCCTCTGATATGCTATGAGACATTTGATTTGTTCTTTTACTCCTCTGGTTGCATTACATATTTTCATATCACATCACATGGATAATAGTTTTCAGTTTGAATTTTAGTTGTTGGATTAATTTAATTTGTAATTTTAGCATGAATATAATAAAGTGATTTTCAAAATTAATATATTTGACAAGTGAGATACTAAAGTTTAATACAAAAATGACAATTTTTTTTAACTAAAACAATGTTCGAGTCACTTTTTAACTTTCGGCAAACTAGACTCTAGAACATTATATAAGTTCCAAGTCGAGACTAAATATTGTAGCTTTAATTTCCACAAATGAGACTTTAGAAAATTATCTTGAAGTTGATCTTTTATGAATTAAACTTCAGAGAACATATGAGGGTTTATGTTTATAGACATAAAATACAATCAAAAAATTCAAATTATATGTCCAAATAAAACTTTTGTTTCATCTCATAATTTTATCTCACATGGCAAACAGAGTGAACGAGATCAAGATTAAATTTAAAACAAAAGTGAATATTTTTCAATTTATTTGGGTTCAATTCAAATCTTATTAGATGGAAAACACTCTAATATTGTTTTTTTCTTTATTATTATTATTTGAACTTGAAATCTTAATTCAAAATGAATGAAATTCGGCCATCTTCTTACATTTTTTCCTTTTTAGAGGGAATGAAATCGACTTACATTTTTTTCTTTTTAGAGGGAATGAAATCGACTATGTATAATATATATACATATCAAAATCAAGTTACTTATGAATTACCATGACAAATAAATTCTTAAATTAAAACTATACTAATAATATAAAAAAATATTTACACTTATAAGTTATAAGATGGTCACATTTCTGCTATTTTATACTGCTGTAGTTTTTTCCTATAGCAATACGCGACCCTTTTTCTCTAGTTTTATTCTAACCAAAGACTGATACGTTGTGACGCAAAAAAATAAGAAAGAATCCTTGTGGATGTTTTTCAGTTATAAAAAAAAAAAAAATCTCTTCATATTGAATTGTTTTTTATTGAGATTATATAATTTATTTTTTTATAAAAATAGCGTGATCACACACACATAATAAATGAACTTCAAAAAATTATGACTTATTCCCCCCCTCCCCCCACGTGCGAGATATTCTGCGGCATAATTTAAATTAATTTTAAACCTTTTTTTGAAATTTTTATTCAATATTAATAGTATAGTATATTTTTTCTGCCATACTTAGCAAACCAATCGATCATATGTATTTGTTTAGCGATATACATGATAAAGTTGCACAATGTCCAAATCGATCATAATGGACTTATAATAAGAAATAAATATACAGTGGAGATCAGTTTAATTTTTCGTAACACATTGGAATTAACCTCTATTTGCGATAGCTAGAGTTTATTATTTTTGTTGATGAGCTAAGTAATTAAAAGAGGCTAAGAGTAACTAACTACGTGATCAATTAGTTAAGTTAGCTACTGTATAACTGTATAATTTGTTAAATTAGTTACAACTAAAAAGCTTATAAGCAATGTAATTAGGGAGCTAACTGTGGATATATATATATATATAACACATCTGGATTTACTAACTTGTTGAATTCTCTATATTCTAACATTTCATTAATTTGTAAATCAATAATTTAATAAGTAATTCAATTTTAAACTCAACGATAAACAAACAAAATGAGGTGGAGTAGTAAAAGTACTTCTAATTCAATGATTGTGATGTTCATAAAATACACCAAAGGCCCCATCAATATTTAGCGTGATATAATATTAAAAATATCACATTAGTATAATTTATGTACTCGTAAATTACCTAATTATTTCGCTTAAGTGTAAACACAATAAATGATTAGCTCAAAATATAATTGGCACAGCATATTTGTTTTTATAAGTCACAACTAATTATTATAATAGATGCATACACAGAATAGAGAGTGCAGAAAACCAGCGGTTTCTCTTTTTCTTTTTTTAAATTTTCTACTCAAATTTATATAGAGACGATAAATTTAGATTCATATAGTATAGAACTTCCTTATCAAGAAATATCCTTCTCATTTGGTGGTAACTGTTTCTTTCTTTACATTTCTTCCTTCACTATCTATTCAATTCTCAATTTCTCTCTCTTTCTTTTTTTTTCATATAAAAGAAACAACCAAACACTTTTTTTCAAAATCACTACCAGCTTTATCAATTGTATACTTCCATGGTTGATGTTCCTAAGAGTTCGTTGAACCCACATGCACCTGAATATATCCCTATTACCAATCCGCCGCCGCCTCTTCCTACCGTCGATTCACCGCCGCAGGAGAATGTGGGACGAGGTCGCCAGCGTCGGAATATTCATCCTACGTATGTGCTTCTTCGACGGCATCAATCTCTGCCGGTGATGCTTCCAACGCGTCCAATTTCGCCTGCGCTTCCACCGCTTCTTCCTCTTCCTACCGTCGATTCACCACCGCAGGAGAATGTGGGACGAGGTCGCCAGCGTCGGAGTATTCCTCCTAAACTAGGAGGGCTGGAGAAACTGAAAGAAACTACTGCCATGATCAAGAATATCCCATTTCATTACAAGTATTTTTTAATTCTTTGCTTCTTTAATTGTTCATATTACTTTTTCCTTATTTGGAAGTTGATTAAAATAAAAAATTTCTAGTTCCATATCATTATCTAATTAATTTAATTTTTCCTTTACAGTCGTGAAAAGTTGATGCAATTTCTAGACGATTACTGCTTACTAGAGAATCAAAAAGCGAGAGATTCAAACGAAGAAAATATTCATGTCTTCGCTTATGATTTCTTGTATTTGCCTATGAATTTCAAGTAATAATCTTGTGTAATTATTTTTCTTGTGTTTTATTTTCAGTCGAAGTCAGTACTATTAACTTATCTTTTATTTTTGCATTTGCAGAATGACGAGCAGCGCAGGCTATGGATTTGTGAATTTCACCGATCACAGAACTCTCTCAAATTTTTTTGGGCATTTTAGTGAGAGAGCAAAAGCGTATCCAAATTCTGCAAGGAGCGTTCAGATGGTCATTGCGAAGATCCAGGTGCGTGAATGTTAAATTTGAAAACTAAAAGAAGAAATTGTTAATTAAGTTTGTAATTTTTGATGTTGAATTTCTACTACTACAACTTATTAACAGGGAAAAAATGCTTTAGTGAACCGATACAAGAATACAAGATTTGTGTGTGAATCAGAAGAGTGTCTTCCAGTTCGGTTTAATCCTCAAAGAAATGGTTCTAGGGAATCAGTGCAAGTGATTACTGTGGGGAAATTCGAAGTCATTCCAGATATTCCGATCAATCGATTTTAGGGTTTAGATAAGCTAACTTTGCAGGGGAGAAGTAATTGAATAGCAGGTGATGAACTCCACCCTTTGTTGTTGTATTTTTCGTTTACGAAATAAACAAGTTTGAGTATAGCCATTAGCAGGAGCTGCTTCTACTCTGATATGTCTATCACACATTTGATTTGGTTCCTCTGGTTTCATTACATATTTTCATGTCTCCCTAGTTTTCAGTTTGAATTTTATATGTTGGATTAATTTATTTTGTAATTTTAGCCTGAATATGATAAAGTGGTGATCAAAATTAATATATTTGACAAGTGAGATACTACAGTTTAATGAAAAAATGACAATATTTTTAACTAAAACTATGTAGGATTCACTTTTTAAGTTCAAAGAGTTTGAGCTTTGGCATTCGGCAAACTATTGTAGCTTCAACTTCCGCAAATGAGAGACTTCAGAACATTATTTTGAAGTTGAACTTTTACTACTTAAATTTCAGAATATATATGAGGTTTTACTTTTATGAACAAAAACGTAGCTTTTTAAACTTAAATTGTCTATGTAAATAAAATTTCAATTTCATCTTATATGAGTTTATATAATGACTACGTTTCACATGGCTAAACAAGCCTTACATAAATGAATTTAGTTATGTGAGGGAAGACAAAAGTGTGATTGAGATCAGCATTCAAATTAAATTTAAAATAGAAGCCAATATTTTTCAATTTATTCGGGTTCAAATTTAAAATAGAAGCCAATATTTTTCAATTTATTTGGGTTCAATTTTATTATTGAAATGGAAAATACTGTTTTACTAAAAAAAATAATTCAAAATGAATGAAATTCGGCCATCTTTCTCACATTTTTTCCTTTTAAAAGGGAATTAAATCGACAATGTTATAATATATGTACATATCAAAATAAAATTATTTATATTGAATTGTCTTTTATTAAATTTATATTAAAAAGATTTATAAAAGATCTCAAGAACATGATAAATGAATTTTAACTTGAAAGAAATATGACATATTTGAACCCCTATGTGAGAGATATTTTGCAGCTTAATTTAAATCCTTGACACAATATTTTTAAAAAAAATTATTTTTATTTTTTTAGATATCTAATAATTATTTTGAATTATCAATTATGGTGACTATTAGTATGTTGTACATAATTTATAAATATATAAATTTCATTTTTTTTTAAATGAAAATTTCATGCGGGATTTCTGGTCAAGCTTAAATCCGTTTGAATCTCGAAAAATGAAATGTGTAGCGCAAATTTGAATAAAGAAAAGAATATAACTTAGTATTATAAATTCAATTTTTTGTGTAACACTTTATAAGAAAGAATATAGTTCTCCCTGTTTTCCATTATGCTACTTTTCTCGGAAAATAAATTTCTTTTGCTGCCTTCAAATTTCTCTTTCCCCCTCTATCTCTCTCATATGAAAGAAATAACTGACACTTTTATTCAAAATCACTACCAACTTTATCAATTGTACCTTCATGGCTGCTGTTCAGGGGAGTTCGTTGAACCCGCATGCACCCGAATATATCCCTGTGTCCACTCTGCCACCGCCACTCCCTCCTCCTCCGTATGTGCTGCTTCCACTGCCTCCATTTCCACCGGCGATGCTTCCACCTCATCCATTTCCTCCGGCGATGATTCTACCGCATCCATTTCAGCCGGCGATGCTTCCACCGCTTCCTCCTCCTACTACCGTCGATTCACCGCCACAGGAGAATGTGCGACCACGTCGCCAGCGTCGGCATATTCCTCCTAGACTAGGAGGGCTGGTGAAACACGATGTGATACCTATAAGTTCAACACATGAGAACAAAACTACTGTAATGATAAAAAATATACCATATCATTACAAGTAATTTTTAACTTTTTTGATTCTTTTATTGTTCATATTAATTTGGAAGTTGGATTAAAACAAAATTTAACCGTCTGACTCTCTAGTTCCATATCATCATCGATCTAATTAAATTTCATTTTTCCTTTACAGCCGTGAAATGTTGATGCAATTTCTAGACGAGTACTGCTTCCTGGAGAATCAAAACACGAGAAATTCAAATGGAGAAAATTTTCATGTCTTCGCTTATGATTTCTTGTATTTGCCTATGGATTATAAGTAAATAATCTCGTTTAATTAATTTTCTTGTGTTTATTTGCAGGCAAAGTACAGAAACTACTTCAGTACTATTAGATTATCTTTTATTTTTGAATTTGCAGAAACAATAGGAGCATAGTGTCACGGACTTAGAGTCTTACTAAAGCTCCGTGCGGCACTTGACAACTTACTCACGAATCTTTCACGATCTTGTAAGCTCAAGTAAGCTTTTTAAGACTAGATCGCTAAGAGAATGCTTAAGGAAAGACTTAGAAAGAACAAAGAGAGTTTTGGAAGAAGGCTTTTGTATTGCTTTGGAAGATTGCTTACAACTTGCTTGGTTGGATGGTGCCTTGCAAATGAGGGGCACCTCCTATTTATACTAACTCCTAGGGACTAAAGTACAATTTTAAATTACTTTCTAAGTCCCTAAACTTATTTACACTTTGGTCCTCTTTCTAGAGAATTCTACACTTTCTAAGATTTTCTAAAGACTTCTTAGAAAATATCTAGTCCCTCTCTAGAATTCTCTACATACTCTAGGACCTTCCAAAACCTTCTTGAAATATCCAAAGGGTTCTAGAGTCTTCCGGAAACCTCTCCACAACTCTAGACCCTTCCGCCCCTATCCGGACGCCAAATTTCATTGTGAAGTGGCGGGACGTGACAATAGGCTATGCATTTGTGAATTTCACTGATCACCGAACTCTGTGGAATTTTTTTTGGGCTTTTAATGACAAACTAAACGTGTTTCCAGGATCTGTAAAGAGTGTTGAGATTTTTGTGCGTGCGCAACCAATAGTCCTTTGACTCGATCAAGGCCCTTGCGCAACGCCTTCAACGCCTTCCATATTGCTTCTAGCTCAGACTTATGACCTTTCTCCTTCCTAGGAGGCAAGCGCCTCGGCGGCTTCTTTGGCATCACGGCATTGTTCCCTTTTGGAACCTTCTTCGAACGTGGCGGCAGGGACCCTTTCGCACCATTGTCTTTCTTCGAACTTGCAATGGTGGCCGTATGCGTCGACTCCTTTTCCTCTAGTTGCATGGCTGTTAGGCGTACTTGTCCTTCCGTCTTCGGTACCTTGACCATGGGCACCATACATGATCTTCCTTGCTCCATGACTAGAAGTCGTTGGAGGTAAGGGTCGATCACCGCGTGGCACTGCTGGAAGAACTCCTGCCCAAGAATTATGTCAAAAGGATCTAAAGGAGCGACAATGAAGTTTGCCTTACCTTGCCACTCTCCTAGCGTGATGTTTACTCCATGCGCGACTCCACTTACAGGAGTCGGGGGTGCGTTGACCGTCCTGAGTTGGGCACTACTTGGCTTGTAACTTAGCCCCAACCTCGTTGCTGTCGTCTTGGTCATGAGATTGACCTCTGCACCCGTGTCGACCAAAGCACAAGCGGGCTTTCCATTGATCTTAAGGTCGACATATTGCGCGCCATATCCTCTTGGCTTCTCTGGCTGCTTGGTGATTGCTCCGCATAGCCCTATCAAGCCCAACTGCGTCGTCCCTTTGCCTTATTCTTGCTCCTGGGCGTCTTTCTCCTTCCGCTCTCGCAGGATGGCACCAAGGCTCTTCAGTTC